TTTTAGAAACACCTTTCCTCTGCTCCTCGCTGCTCTCTGAGATTTGCAGCCATGCTTTGGTCATGTGCGCCCTCTAGTGTCCGCAGCCTGGAACTACAGCTCAACTTTAAACTTTAGTTGACCTACAAATTGACTTAAAATGGAGCTTAATCATTGTTGTTTGTGATGTTTTAATGCGAATTTAAACCATTTTAACCATTGAGGGCTTAAGGTTTTAATTTATGTTTGTTTTTGTTTTGTAGAATCAGTAACAGATGTGTGAGTTGGGAGTAAACTCAGCACCATTGTTGTTCTTTTTTCCTAAAGAAACACAMATTTTCTCACAAGGTAATTAATTTCTGTCTGAGTCTGGTTCTGTTGGTGTTCCACCGATGTCCTTCCTCTGACCTGCTCTGAAAGTTGTCGTTTAGAGAAAGTCTTGATTTATTCACAGCTGTGCTCCTCCTTCCTGTCCGGAGCTGAAACCGTTTCCAGAAAGTTTGTTTGGACTTGCGAGGAATTCACTGGGTCGGCAATCGTGTTTTGAAGGGAATTGAATCATATCATCCTAATCTGTCTGTTACACCGGGAACCATGCCTGGGATTATCCTGCATTACCTCTGGCCCCGCCCCCTTTTCCCTTTTCACAGATGTGTTTGTTGACAGAGCTGTGAGGCCTCCTGAGGCTCTCTGCACGTGTCGGCGGCGTGTGAGGTTTTTGATGAGTTTGATAAGAAATGTTCGCTCTGAAAACAGATCTGTTGATGTGCACGTGCATGTTTCAGCCAAACTTTAGACGAGTTGTCACAACCTTTCACCCGTCACAACTCTGGTATTTTAACTGTTAATCTGCCTTTTTGTTACGTTTTCCTTGTTTTTTCGTGCTCCTCTTCATCTTCTGTAAATCCCTCTGTGGATAAAAGATGCTTCCAGATCAGCTTTTTTTATTATTTTATTTTTACAAACCTTGGAGGCAGGACAGTATTCATGGGAAGCTGATATGTGCACACAATAATACACACAAAGAAATGAAACATGACTGCCTTTGCTAATTGTTTCATTTAGTTTCATCCCTAAAAAACAAACACTGTCCTCCCACTGCTCTAACGTCCTTACAGTAGTAATCCAGATAGACTTTTATTGTGAAAAGCTGTGAAAGAGACCCTCGTTTGGTCGATGATCTAACTTCTCAGTGTGTGATTTTTCCCAAACCCACACAGTTACACTTTTTACTTTTCATTGTCATTCCTCCAAAAAAAATCCTCTCCTGCTGCTCCTGGAGAATGACCCAGCAGAGCGGTTCTTCTGGTCTGAACCACAGAAAGACCAGCCCCCTCCTCCTCCCTCTCCTTACAGAGGAACCATAATTAAACATCTTTGTGTGTTTATACTCAGCTGTGACTCAGTGGACCACGTGGCCTGCATTTGTTGGTCAACTGGTTAAATCACAGATACAGCGAGGGGCAATGTTTTAGATTTAACAGAAAATACTAAAAGCCATTTGTAAAAAAGAAAAAAATAGTATAGGTCTTCTGGACGGGTTCTTCTCTAATGAAACGTTTCGTCTCTCCTCCAAGAGACTTCTTCAGTCTGAGAGATTCAGGCAAACGTTTTCAAAGTTTCAGACTGAAGAAGTCTCTTGGAGGAGAGACGAAACGTTTCATTAGAGA